GAGTTACAGACGGTTGTTAGCTGCCATGTGGATGCTGGGAATCGAACCCAGGTCCTCTGTAAGAGCAGCTAGTGTTCTTAACCGTTGAGCCATCCCTGCAGTGTCCCCCCGCCCATGTCTATTCTAAACCCAAATGCCAATGGAAGCAAAGTCTCCCCAGGAAGGCTTGTGTGGCCCCTGTTGGGGGTTGGGGCACTGGAGATATCCTGACTGCCCCAGCAGGGCTTGGAGTGTACATTCTGTCATGTCCCTCCTGGGCACACCTCACTTCCAGGCACTGGGCATCACTGCGGGGTCTCAAGTGTCTGCACCATCTTTCACACCCAATGCTTGTGAGCTTCCAGATACAGCCAAGTCCACTTGGCTTCAACACAATTCCCCCAGCCTCCCAGATAGGGGGTCAGGTTCCACATCCCAATCCCAAGTGGGGAAGCTGTTTGAGGAGAGGGGAAGCCCAGCCTGTCTCATCCTGTGTCATCAGGAGAAGCAGAGAGAACAGATTGACCTCGTGCTGCATCCTGGCCTCGTGAAGGATGTCTTCTGTGAGCGGCCTCATTATGAGTGTTGTAGACCCTCATCTACGTGTAGTTCACCTTTCCTGCAGCTCACACCTTTAAAGTACACAAGTCAGCGTTCTCGCCTGCATCACAGAGGGCTACCACCGTGCCTCCTCCTCTTTTACCTCTAACCCCCAAATAAGCCCGTACATTATAGCCCACACCCTGAGTGGACAGGCTGGGCTTTGAGGGCTCAGACTTCATTTCCTGTGTGGTCCACAGAATTCAAAGTAATGACCCTGTGAGGTCTCACCATTTTCTACCCCAGCCTCACGGTGCCATTTCTTGTTGGGCAAATGGCAGTCCTGCACCCCCTCTCCAGAAACAAAGGGGCACCTTGCAACTGTCTCTTGTGGCAGTCCCACACCTCCTGGTCATTCAGCTCTGCTCTATCAGATGACTGCTCTGGCTTCCAAAAGTTTCTGTTCATCACACCTTTCCTGGCCTCCCAACAATGGATCCTTTGACTTCCTGAGCCATGAAACTGGCAGTTGGCCAATTAATTATTTTCTGTCTCAGGTCATAGGTCGTAGATCACTGACCAGCCCAAAGCTGCCACTTTGGAGGCAGTTATGGGAAGACAGGGCCATTTGCACACATTGTGGCCACTCTGGCTTCCCCTGTGCTGGAACCTGGGGCACCTGGGATTGCTGAGGACTTTGTACCTGGAGAGAAGGCCACCGGTTCGCTCCTCCCCAGCTGGCTCCCCAGTGAGCACCAAAGGTCAAAGGGCCCCTCTTGCAGCTCTGGGACCCCTGTAGAACCACAGGAATGTCGACCCACTTTGCTTTGCTGAAGTCTTGACATGACAGGAACAAGGCCCACGAGGACCAGATGTTTAGAATGTTTGGATTTTCCCCTGGAGAGAAGGCCACCGGTTCGCTCCTCCCCAGCTGGCTCCCCAGTGAGCACCAAAGGTCAAAGGGCCCCTCTTGCAGCTCTGGGACCCCTGTAGAACCACAGGAATGTCGACCCACTTTGCTTTGCTGAAGTCTTGACATGACAGGAACAAGGCCCACGAGGACCAGATGTTTAGAATGTTTGGATTTTCCCCCACAGCTTCAGTTTCAAATGCCCCTGCCACATTGCTCTACTCTGTCTACTCTACTTCCCTGCCAGCTTTCTGTCCACACCAGACCTGGGGTTTATACACAGGGGCCACACTGTCTCCTCTCCCTGCCCCTTTGCTAACCTTGCAGAGAGACCATGCACCCCAGGGCCCTGAGGTTGCCCCAGCCCACCTGTTGTAGGGCAAAGGCCTGGGCACCATCTCCATGGTCCTGTTCATACCCTGATCAGTAGCTACCATCTGAGGGCAGTGGGTCACCTAGATGTAAGCATATAAATAAGGTGCATGGGGTAGGCAGTGGAGGCCTGCCTGGGCCCTAGTTAATGTTCCTGGAGCAGCTCCCACAGCAGAGTTGATTGCGGTGATCTAAATGTGTCCCTCAAAGTTGTTATTTTGGAACCTCAGTCCCCACTCTAAGAGGCAAGTCGGTCACAAGGGCACTGTCCTGATGAATGACTGTGGAACAGGTTATGGATAAAAGGCGCTAGGCCCCTCTGCTGGCTCTCTTTGGTGTATTCTCTTGCCCTTTCCCCTTCTGCTATACATGATACAAGAAGGCCCTTGGCAGATGCAGCCCCTTGACCCCGCATTTCTCCAGACCCAGAATTAAAAGAACTCAATCTTTGTTCATCACAAGTACCTCAGACTGTGGTTGTCTGCCTCAGCTGCAGAAAATGGACTTAGGTGGCCTGTCCAGATAAGCAACACTAACTCCCCTGGGACTCAAGTTCCTACCCTCTGCCCTGTGTTCTGATGTAACTAGCCCTTGACTCACCATTGCCAAGTTTAGTGACTTTTCCTGTCACAGCCATCAAGAGGTTTAAGGAGAAAGCTGGGGTGGGTTTTGGAGGCCTGACTGTTTTCTCTGGGCTCCTGCTCTGAGCTGGGAGATGCTAGGTAGAAAGATCAGGTTAGAGGTCAGGGTGTGAGTGAGGACACAGGAAATGGGTGAGAAGCTCCAGGAGGTTTTAGGAGTCATGTCTAGGTTGGCTATGAGGGCCCTGGAGACTTGCTTTTGCCTGCTGAGGAGGGGAGGCAGCCAGCCAGCCAGGGAACCCAAAGCTTTGGGGAGGGTCTGTACAGGGAGAGAGGAGTAGGTATAGGGCTTGAACCCTCAGGCTCTCTCCTTGTCCTCTCCCAAGTCTGAGATACAGGGATATCATCCCTCCCCAAGACCCTGGATGCCTACAGGAGAGACTCGTGTTAGAATTTTCTGTCCTTATTCATCCATAGGCTTTGGCCTGGACTCCCAAGGGTAGCACAAGCCAATGGGGAGCCTGTCATTGCTGACGGAAAGTTGGGCAAACCAACTTGCATGCAACATTTGCCAACTGGACAAAGGCATAGGGTCCCATGACAGCATCCCATAACATAATGCTTGCCTTGGCTGCAGTTTACAACTTTGGCAGTGTCCAGGGGTGGTGGCCATTGGCAGACAAGGAGTAACCTTGGATTGAAGGAAGACAGCCCCCATGGAGGACCCATAGTGGTCATAGGGTGGGGGGCTGCTACATGTGTGGGTAGCAATGTGTATGCACATAGGTGCATGTGTTCTGGGCAAAACCACTATCTGAAGCCAATTTCAGTAAGTTCTGGGCTCACTGCACTCAGGAAAGACACAGGTGCCCATAGTAGCTGAGGAAGGCAGCACTTCAGGTTCTCAGAAGCTCTGTGCCCGTCCTGATGACTAATCAGGCAGAGGCGGGTAATCCCTGACC